TAGTTCAAATTAAGTAAAGTTACACAGTGATGTTCATTTTAAAGTTGGAAAATTGACCTTTTCAGTTGAATAGTTGACAATTGAAATCTAAAATCTATTACTGTTCCATAAGTAGGACATTACGTAACCCATATATATAGTTAGATTTTCAAATAATATAGAAAATTTGCGACCATTCTTCAGATATTCTTATTAGTTGACGCTGGTAAGAACATATACACAATTTTTAAGGATTTAGCTATCAACATTATTGTTGTACAAAGATGTGTCTGACTTTGTTGTTTCTAATCTATGAAAAAAGATTTATCAGTAAAGGAGAACTGAATTAAGCGCTAAATTCTACGTTTGATATAAAAGTAAGAATGTTTCTAACGAACTACAATAATAGTTTATGGTGTTTATCTTTACACAGTTCATTGACCAGGATATACTTCATAATACTCACAAGTTATTTTATAAACGTTTGTATTATTCCGTTGTTAATAATCACAATAGAGTTTTGATCCATTCTAGCTATCAGGACTCAGTGGCCGAGTGGATAACGCGATGGCATTTGAAGAGAAAGGTGCTAGGTTCGAGTCCCAGAGTGAACATCAACTCTGAAATGCAGGTACATCCAGCTGACGAGTCCCAAGTAGGAAGAAACGCGCGTCAAACTGGATTCCACTGCTAGTCGCTATCCACCTTTGCTTACCATGCTTGTGAATTAGGCTACATCGAGGCAATACGCACAGTATGCGCATATACCAATTAGAGACTGACCAGTTGCAGTCCTAACACATCGATGGGAAGATTCAAACAAACAACACTAAATGAATTCTTTCTGATTCTAGTTTTAGAATGAATATAAACAGTGATACAGATATTAATTCAGATAACGAGTCTCAAACAAGACGAAATACTTTGTAATTTATTATTAGCTATGAATCAAATATCTTAAAACTCACAGGGTAGTTTAATTTCGTCACTTCATGAAGAAAATCAGCTAATTTTGTAGACTTAATACGTATTATTCTGAACAATATATAGGTTACTGGAAATTGAACATTTTGAAACTTATTCTCAAACACACTATACAACTGGCGGCCTGCTTAAATATCTGGACTACGTGTTCCTGTCATCCATATATTTCAACAACTTATCTAATTTTGTTTGTATTAATACATCATTGTGGCTATTAATCGCACAACCTATTCAAGTGCGTTTCTGAAAAGTGTACAACTTTTCGCTGTAAAAGTTACAAAAGGGCTAATCAGAGATATTGTGGTTTTTGGCAATATGCAGCGAATAGAATGTACATTATTCAGATGGCGATTGACTGGTCTATTAAATTCTAACTGGCGACTACTCAATATTTGTCGTCAGAATCGACGAAGAAGTAAGAAACGGAAACTTGTTGAAGTACTTTGTGCTGAAAATTCTGTATTGTACCAAAAATATAATATTGAATAAAGCTATTACAAATAATACTACTAATAATAATAACTTTAATTAGACAGAACTCTAATGTCACAAAATTATTTGAAATCAGTGAAGATAACTTCTTGTTTGATATTCACTGTTAACTTTAATAAAGAAATTTAAAATATGTTATAAATCTCGAATGGTTGATCATTTTTGTTTCAGTACAGAATAAATAATTATATCATTGAAGATCGGACTCAAAACTTTCAGTTTATCCCCGGAACACTTAACTTCAAGACTACTGAACTCGTATCCAATGGCGTATATGTATGACTTCAATTAGCTTATGAAATCGGGTGGCCCCATTTTATTTCCTAGGGTGAACAATTGTGTCACATGTGATATGCTTGAACTCCACTGGTCATAGCTTCCGTCTAGAATTCCAAGAATCACATTTTGGAACCAGCCACTAGTCAGCTCAAGATCTAAAGTATGAAAATTCTACAGTCTCAATAAACTCCGCTCTTCTAATAAACTTTCATTTACGGATTTGTTTTTCTTTATTTAATGGTGATGAAATGGTCGTAATGAAGTCACTTATTTAGTTCTAACTGATACAACAATTATAAATTATTTAGAAGGGGATTTGTGGAGATTTCAGTATTTTTTAAAGTTGAAATCATCAGTCAATTGAAACTAGACCACCATCGAAAACCTGGAAGCACTGGACGGCCGTTTCGTCCTACTATGGGACTCCTCAGCAGGGCTTCGGCTCGAAACTGGTAGGTCCTGGGTTCGAGTGGGTTCGTGGATGCGCACTGCTGAGGAGTCCCATAGTAGGACGAAACGGCTGTCCAGTGCTTCCAGGTTTTCGATGGTGGTCTAGTTTCAATTGACTCATGATTTCAACTTTGAATTATAAATTATCTTTTTAATTAATGAATTATTTTAAAAGAGAGGGTTTTTGAATGAAACGGATAATTTCTTTATTATCCAGCAGAGGATACTAGTCATTGAATGCATATTTAACCGTTGTTCATACTAAGGATGAAGAAGGTACAATCAGTATGTGTACTGTTTTGAACATGCTCTTGTATACTATGTCCAAATGTTTTTAAATAAATTGTATCAGAATAATTTTCAAGTTGATAGTAGTTTTGAGTGTATATAGAATACACTTTTAATATAATTGTTATTAGTGAGGAGAGTTTTCGATATACTTCAATAAATTTACCTCGGCCTAGAAGGCATCTAATATTGGGCTCCCTAAGAGGACCTTCTAAACCGATTTCTAAGGATTAACCCGTTTACATTTCGAAAGGAAAATTCAAAATAATCAACAATTTAATTTTGGAATATGATTGAAATTCTAATGAAATTGATCCTTTAAAAGTACCTTTTGTTTAGTCAAATGATCAAGCTCTATGGAATCATAAATCAAGAAAGCCTTCACGGATTTAGAGGTTCAAAGTCAAACTTTATACGAAAAGGTAGATTGTTTAATCTGTTATTCATTTATGACATTAACACTTGAAATTTCCAAGCACTTTATGATATGATCTTTTCTTTCTTTTTCAATAGATTATTATAGAGTTCTGTAACTTCACCTGGTGATACCATTGAAAACGATTTTTTCCTGAATGCTGTCTTCATTTATTCTTTTAATGACACAAAGAGCTATTTTCCTTGTAATTGCATTCACTTTTGTAGTAAAGCTCCGTTAAAGATTATGAAATGATATTCGAGTTATACGATGACATTTAAACTATGACAGTTTAATCCTCAACTATCAAAGATGATGTACAACAGTTTTACAGTGCGCAAGTAAACTTAGAACCCAAATGATATCCACGGTATAAGATCTGTAAAAAACTTAGATTCGGAGGTTATGAAGTAAACCTGGGGTATATGAATTCTATTCATTTTATAATTGAAATATGTAGTATGTTGCCTTACCCACATTAAATTATCTTTAAAAAGGACTTAACAATCATCACCATATTTGAACAGATAAGATTCCTACTTCTACACAGACCCAAAAACCATATAAATGTTTACGTCACATTTCAAATGGAAAGAACGTTTAAGTAAATAAGCTAAAAGCTGTTGTGTCCTATGACCCATCACATATCACAAGGCAAAATTACCAGTCAGAATACTGACTCATATGACCTTGTTCCTTAGCTAAACCAATGACGCGTCAACTAGAACTACCATCCTTGAAACAACACTGAATCCTTCTTGGTCCATGATGTAGTAGCTTCTCGCCTAGTCCAGCCCGTTCAGTCTAGATCACAATCTCAGCATCCACTACATGACATACGTGGTTGATAAATAAGCAAAGCAGACCTTATAAGACCAAAAGTAGCTGTCAGTGTAGAATACTGTAACTGATAAATTGAGAATAAGTTAGGAATATTAAATCGTCCATAATTAATTTCTATCAGTTTATTTTTCGTTCGGGTAAAACAAAAGCAGACTAATTTTCCTGTATTAGTCATCTCTTTGAATGATTATAGTTAAACCATACAGTTGGTTGAAGTAGAAAAAAATTGACCTACGTACATCAAATTTAGTCTATACCCCATCAATATTGATCATACTTTATAAAAAAGCATTTTTGTAATAATAAACTCAATCTTTAACTTGTGCCCAAGACTGATAGGTCCTGGGTTTGAATCTCGAGAGGCGGGATTGTGGATGCGCATTACTGAGGAGTCCCATAATAGGACGGAACGGTCGTCAAGTGCTTTCAGGTTTTCCATGGTGGTCTAGCTTCAATTGACTCATGATTTCAACTATAAAATTACTAAAAATCTGCGCAAAACCCCCTTCTGTTAAATTACAAAAACTAAACTCTACAAAGGTTATCGTCTCAAATAACTAATGTTAATATTTTTCTTAGAAACTACCAATTTTAGCATTCTTAGGCTCTGAGGACTATTTATTTGTATGAAGGGGATTTTTGGGAATGGTAGATTTTTCATAGTTTAAATGACGAATTGATCTTATAGAGATCCACAATGGAAATCAGGAAGCACTGTGTTATGAGTGCTCACTGTAAAGAAGTATCATACTGGGAAGAAACAGCTGTTTAGTGCTTCCAAGTCTTTAAAGATAATGTAACTAAAACCCGTTTCTTGATTCAAACCACATATTTATTTTATTTATTTAAACACATTCACATTGGTACAAGAAAGCACTAGATACATATGCGCCACACAAATCTCATTCGAATTTGTGAGTGCTGTGATACTGCCCAGGTGCTCAAACTGAAACAGGTGGTTTTCTTAGAAGGCCATGCCCGGAGCCTTTGACCTAAAGGTCTGATCCACATGGCAGTGGAGCATCGTAAGGAGATGCAGTCCCATGGAAACCGGTGACCAAATATTGATTCAAACGCCATTTGTTCCCTCAGGATACTGGAGCCCATGTGCACCATTGATTTGTAGTCAGGATTTTTCAACTCCCCTAGGTGGACTCACCGTGTCCACCAACCTGGTTAAATTGCCAAACATTCGCTTTTCATCCTCTCAATTTCGTGAACACCCCCGCCAAGAGAAGGCAGTGAGTAGGACTTCCCTGACAGAGGCTATATACGCATGGCCATGTGAGAGCATGTCGAGAGGGATAGCGGATTCTCCCTACTCTCGGCCGTATCATGGCATTTGGGGGAAAACTACAAAAATTAATTACTCCATCAATAGATTATATTGTTTTGATCTATTGTAAGTTTGCCCAGTGACAGTTAAATAATACAACTTAAAGGCAGAAAATAGTAATGAATTCTTAAAAAGTTTATTGATTCATTTGTTTACGGTATGTTTAAAATAATACAATATATAATAAATCTTAATGATAATTACACACATGCTATGAATGTAAGCTACCCATAATGAAATGAAAATATTATGACTGCTAGAATCGTTATTAAGAAACTTAATTCTTTGAAGGTAATTAAACACATTAGATTACTTGAATAAATCCAATATTAAACTGATAGTATGTATGTATCATCTTTTGTTTCTTGACGAGCCAATGCTTCCTACAATGAAACATATGAATATATGGATATATAAGATTGTATTCTGTAGAAATATTAAAAATATATAATTCAGATAAGGGAATCCTTTTTATAACGAATTTATTATCAAGTTTTTCATCTAACCAAATTATATTAATGTTATGTATGTTGGTAATCTCAGTATTCACACTATACAACTAATGGTAGAGTTTCGTTCTCTGAGCTGGAGTGTTTAATCGTTGGGCTTTGATTGTTCTTCTAAGCATCATCATCAGTGAAAACTTCTGGTAGAAGTGAAGTACTTGAATTTCTCTTCATAGATCTAACTGCTAGTCCTGACGAACTTGATTTTGATTAGTTACTGTTGTCCATTAACCTGTCATTGCTTGTATACTTATTTTGATTATTTCTTCTTTTGATTTGATTCTCGATTCCATAGTGGTCTACGATTTTTTTTTAATTGGCTGACAAGTTGAAGCAGTTTCTATGTGTTTACTGATTCCTGATCGATCTGAGTGTCAACGTTCTGAAATTTCTAAGGTCTTGTTAGTATTCCCTCCATCCAAAATCTCAAGACTTTCCCAATCGTGTGTATGTCCACAATTATTCACATACACTGATGGAAACGGAGATACATCATAGTATTGAACATCTAGTAGATGTTCATGACGACGTAAATGAAGAGGGTGGTGACTTTATCAGTTATAATGTTTCTCGCATTAAGAAAAGTTTATGTTTCAGATGCCTTTTTTGTCATTTCATTTTTTGATTTGACTGAAATGTTTTTGATGGGAATTAAAATCCTTCTATTACATCACCAGATCTATAATTCGCACACAATTTTGCAAATAATTCAACTTTAAAACTTCATCTATATATATAAAGATACTACAAACAGCGATGCCCCCAAATGTCCTGGTACGGTCGAGAGTGGGGAGAGTCCACTCTCCCTCTTGAAATGCTCTCACATGGCGACGCGTACACAGTCTCTATCAGGGAAGTCCAACGCACTGCCTTCCCGCACCACGGGTGTTGTTTACGAAATTGAGAGGACAAAAGGCGAATGTCCAGCGCTTTAAATGGGTTGGTGGACAAGGAAAATCCATCTAGGGGAGTTGAAAAATCCTGATTACAAATCAATGTTGCACATGGGCTCCAGTATCCTGAGGGAAAAAATGTCGTATGAATCAATCTTTGGTCACCGGTTTCCATGGGACTGCATCTCCTTACGATGCTTCACTGCCATGTGGATCAGACCTTTAGGTCAAAGGCTCCGGGCATGGCCTCCTAAGAAAACCACCTGTTTCAGTTTGAGCACCTGGGCAGTATCACAATCCTTACACAAATCAAATAAGATTTGTGTGGCGCATATTTATCTGGAGATTCCTTTTACCAATATTCATGTGTTAAAATAATAAATAATAACAAATAGCGATTGATTATCTAACAAAGCACAAAGATTTAACTTTCATTCATCAATAAACCTACTTTATTTATCGACTCATGTACAATCTCTTCTTCTGATAACATTTCAGACGTTTTCTAACGAAAGAAAAAGAACATATGAAACATATATATTCTTTGAAGCTCTTTTTATTCGAATAAGTTAACTTAAATTCATTGATGTTATGGTTTCCTAAGAATTCATCAAATCATTCGATTCATTGTTATTAAGTAATTTTAATGTTGCCTACTGAAATGAAATTTTTTTAACAATCTACCAATAGTAATTATATTAATTTAAATCACGAAATGATTTTAGCCAAATCCCTATTGAAAACTAAGAAACGATGGGCAACAGTTTCATCCTAGTGTCAGATCACTCAACAACACGCATTTTACAACCCCACTGACAGAAGTCAGACTCAACAGCTATATGTGCATTGAATTTTATTTTATTAACTCTCTGTTTGATTGGCTTCCATTTCACATAATTTCACTGTCTACTTAAAAACTACTTCATCATCATATGCATAAAAGTATTTTAATAGTTTAATTCATAAATCGATCTACGTTTAACCATCAATGAAAACCTAGAAGCACTGGATGAACTTCTCGTACGAGTATGGGGCTCCTCAACAGAGCACATTCATAATCCAGCACTCAGGAATCGAATCCAGGACTCTCCGTCTCACACGCGCACGTCTTCAAACCTCCAAACCATTGAAACAGACTCCAACGGTTTTAATGTCTAACCTCAACCTATCCACGATACATCTATCATCATCAAATGTTATTGAATAGAAACAAATCAAGTCAATGTACAATGTATAATTCAACAAACATAATCACTCACATTCAATTGACTTATTACAACAAGAAATATAATTATAAGGAAACCAAGCAGAGTTATTCCAGTTTGAAATATCATCAAAGTTGGGGAATTTTTCGACTCTCGATGAAATTGTCTCACAATAAGTGTGATGTTGAGTATCATAAATGTAGATATTCCAAATAATGCTATTATGAACTGAATACTTTTTGAAGATAATGAAACATCTTGATTATTACTGGGTTTCTTTGACTAGAAAAAAACAAAACAATACCGTTGAAACATTTAATCGCCATATAGTGAGCATTTTGTAAACTATATTTTAAAGCAATAAATATCATCAGAAGTGTTGTAAGACAGTTAATTCATTTCTGAAGGCCTAAAACTTCCTACTTTTGGTTTTAAGTACTGAAACTGATCGGTCGTTTTTCGGCACATGTGAATCCTGAGCGAATTACCGAGATATTGCCGTCGGTCACATGCATTTCTAAGCAGAGATGAATAGTGCCTAGCAGAGGGATCCAACACCAGCGTTTCGTCAATAGTTAAGTGGATTACGCATTGGGTGTTTGAGGCAAAAGACACTGGTCTCTGTCCTCGTGTGAATATCAACACAAGTGCAGGGAAATCCAGTTGATGAGTACAGAAAGGATGAAACATACCTCTTGGATCCCAAAGCTAGCCAATATTTTTCTGTATTTCAAAAATTTAAAAAATTATTGTGAGGTAATAGAAAATAATTTACTAAACACATTTCAGAAATTGAAAAGATTGCATTCTAACATACCTATAACATCAAGACTACACATATTTCACTTAAGTTATCCAACCTTAATATACACAAATCCATCATAATATTCAGATAACTGGATATATGTAACACTCATTTACTGGGTGAATAACTAAAATTCTAGGGGATTTTCACAGACGATTTCCCAAATTATTTGGCGGTGAATTAATTTACTTATTAATAAGTTCGGATTTCTCAAGTTACATAATAAATTCATTTAAATTTAAAGCTATCAATCTTTAGACGTAGTTGCACAATGTATTTGTCACTGAATTATTATACATCTTAATCTATACTTCTAAAAGTTATTATTTAACCATGAGCTATGAGATATATTGACAGACAGATTGAATAATGAAATGCTTCATTATTCACTTCAGTTATAGCCAATTCTTTAGGGCGTGTCAAAAGACAAATACTTTAATAACCAGTAAAAAGTTACTCTGTTACAAACTTTACTTACTAAACTTTGACGAATAACACTAAACGGTTGAAGATAAACTCCACTCTCGTTTGCAATTTTTCCCTTATACCTGGCGGTCAACCAAAATGAAGCGGGAATTATTATTAACACTATCGTAATACGTTATGGAGGGTGTGTTTCGTTATCTGTCGTTTTTGCTGGCTCACATGACAAATGTAAAGTTTTCTTCGACGAGAATACTACATTATCCTACTACGGACGTGTCAAGTGTAGCACACTCAGTCATGATAGGGGAGAAATCACAATATAGCAAAAATCAACTCTCTAAATAATCCCATAATGTAAATCAGTCCAATATATGTATAATTGAGCGACTAAATAAACCAAAACTTAACTGGTATCACTGACTACGATACATTCAGATGTATTGACAACGTATAGTTTATCCCCGAAACATTAAATCGACTATGTTTTAAATTTTCTTTTCTTGCCAGACCATGAATTAAAGAAAACTTTTTCACATCTTTCCCCTTGCTCACCTCAAACCTGTCATCCAATTATATTGATATTTTTAAAAAGGATTTTGAAGGTTATCATTGTTTTAGTGTTGATATAAAAACCAATAATTTGTATGATGATGACCATTAAGATAGCAATGAGCCCTACTAGTCACACTTTTGCTACCTCAGATTCATGCTGTTTTTAGTAACGTTTCGGTCGCTGGAAGCGCTCAATCATACAGTAAGAAGCTTCAAGCTGGTAACATTTTGTCATTCATGATTCCCAGTACCATCAGAATGGGAAACCGTACATTAGGCTTGTGTTCTATAGAACTGGTCTTAAAGCTGCCAGAAGAAATCCTAATTGTCCCAAAGGAACGAGGTAAGTGTAATAATTTTATAAAACTGTTTCGCCTAGTGTTTTATCAAAGTGCGGTTGTCCCTGATTTATATTTTCATAGGAGACAGACAGATATCGGGTTTTACTTTGTGGAAACGTGAAGCAAAACCATAAATGCAATACCTTGGTTTATCACAATAGATCATAGATTCCATGGATGATCATAGTGAACTAGTGATTTTGAAATTAAATCATCCGAAGACTATGTAAATGAATTCACAGAAAATCCTGTTTGATGAACTTGAATTTTAAAGATTAACCACTAGTGATGGTCTTAAAAACCATCTCTTACGTTAAATGCCAAACATATTTCATGTAACAAACTATAATACTATTTAACCAAGTCATTTTCTTGTCCGCTTGTCTTTGTACGATATATTAATATTGTAGCTGTTTCTATGCTAACACAAACCCATGTGACTGATCCTGACAATTGGATGGACTTTAATAACTCTGATAGTGAATTACTACTGCGTCAGTTCTACCATCCCTGTAATTTTATTCTATTCATATAATATTGTGACCTAATACCTCTTATATTCGTGTTCTTGTATTCCTACGCTTACACGTCTCATATGTGTTTCTGTGTGTGTGCTTATACATTAACCTTTTTTTATCCAATGTCTGTCTCTTTGTTGCACTATGCATTATTTATTTAGGATTAGCTTACAGATTATTATGAATAATATTTTGAGTAGGCAAAGATGATTTCTCCTATCCTTTTCTCATCTCTCTGTCTGTTTGTCGAAGAGAATGTATAAAGTATAGACAACCGAAAAATTTGTATTCAACTCTTTATGTCCACATTTTTATTAAAGAGAATTGTTGACAGAGTATATAAGAATCTAGGTAGAATCTTTATTTGATCCACATCATAAAGATTGTTCATTGAAGTTCTTTAAAATCTCATTGAAATACAATTCCCTTCATAATGTAGCAAAGTAAAACTATGATCAAATTTATCTTTTATATTTCATTATATAATCAATTCTGGATACTTCATTTATAATTCTTATGAAAGTCTACTAATTTTATCCCTAATGAACACTGTAAAAATTTTAACTATTTGAAAACTTTCAACCAGAGTTATATATTCATCAATTGTGTATTGTCTTTTAGAAGCACGAAACCCGGGTACATAATTTCCTGTTGACCACCTCCAACCACCATCTTATCTCAAGTGCATGCAGTGTCGAGCCACCCAGACTAGTCGCCTCATTGCAACTTGATCAATAGCATTCGATAAGTACTAAGACGAACTTGACACACATGACATTGATCACCACCCAGTGATCAATCAATTGTAAATAAATATTTCTCATGTTTCATAATCCTTTTGTTTGTTATTTATTTATATAGTGAAATTAGATAATCAACTGTTTATTCATAACTAAATGTATCTGGTATTTTGAAAAGTATATAAGAAATATCAAGTGTGAAACAGTTATTCATAGATGGTAATGGATGAAAGTTGTAAAATATTGCAAATTGATTGAAGTTAAACATATACACCGTTGGATGCCCACTTAGTGGTTTAGAAGTTAATTATACGTGAGTAAGACCGAAATATATGGGTTTGACTCCCTATGATGGAGTTGTGGATATGCACTCTTGAGTAACCTTATAGTCAAATGAAACAGCTGTCCATTTCTTTCAGGTTTGTAATAGTAGTCTAGGTAAAAATCAGCTAGTTACTTAGATTATGAGAATCCCATCATCTTCACCAATCATTTTATATTAATATAAAAGATGTTCCTGATTACAGATAAATTTATGAATGAACTTGTTAAAAGAAGAACTCTCTCATTAAACTATATTAAAAAGTAATTATCAAGCAAACATTGATAAGTTATTTCATAATATTTCAAAATCTCATTATTAGATTATTACACTTGTAAACATACTGAAGGAAGTTTAATAAATTGGTTCTGAGTATGAAATGTTTAGTTTTAAAAAAAGCAACTGGTTATGTCTTAGTTTATGTATGCTAAATTTATACATAATAATGCATTACAGTGGATAATATGAGTTAAATGCTTTCTGTCATATGCTCCGTTCTCTGTTATTCACTTACACATATGTATTATGGTTGTGGAGATTGTTAACTGTTATTGAGATTGCAAATCAACCAAATTTAGAAAACTAATGAGTACTTAGAGGCCCTAGTTTGAGACTTCTCAGATGTGTGTATCCACAACCTCACCATCTAGGGTTGAATCTAGAACTTTCGGTGTGAGAAGGATGTCCACTTCAGGCAAAGAATTGTGGTTTGCTAGTATCGTGGAATGATTAAATTTGGACATGTATACCATTAAAGCTGAAGTCTAAAGCTGTAGTCTAAAGTTTGAGTGTTCTTGAACTAGATCGAAGATGCTGACAAGTTTGTGAATATGTACTTCTCAAGATTTCCATACTAGGACAACAACGGAAAAACTATCCACTACTTTCAGATTTACAATGATTTTTTTAATAGTTGAAATCATGAGTCAATTGAAGCTAGACCACCATGGAAAACCTAGAAGCACTGTACGGCTGTTTCATCCTATTATGGAACTCCTCAGCAGTGCGCATTCACGATCACGCACTCGCAAGATTCGAACCCAGGACCTAGTTAATAGTTTACCTGAAATGATCAACTACAAACGAATGAATAAATAAACTACAGTACATATATGAATCAGTAATTAAAATATATAAATAATTTATAAAATTCAACTACATTCATATAAACTTACCATTTTATAAAATTTCACAATAGTTTCTAACTAGTTTTCTATAGTAATAATAATAATGATAATTTTTAAGATTTTTGAGTATTTTTATACTCTATCGAAAAATATCTTTGAAAAATTAAAAAAAAAACAATTTACAAGTTTTTTTGTTTTTTTTGGTTCTTTATTTTTTATTTTTTTTTGTATTTTTTTGTTTTTTGTGTTTTTGTGTTTTTTGTGTTTTTAGTTTTTTTGCTTTTTTTATAATAAAGACATATTTCTATTGACAATATACATTTTTATTGGTTAAACTAAAATTTTAGTTTAATGATGTTAATAGTTAATATATTATAGGATCATACTTTGTTCCATGTTCAATGTATTATAGTATTATAGAAATACACATGGATAGATTATGTAAAGAGATGCTGAAATATTGTTTTTGTTTTTTTTTTGTTTTATATTGAATAGTTCATTTAAAATGTAAAACAACTAATCTCTTTGATAAATTTAAACAATGTAATTGTTATATCTAGAGCTTTGATTCTTACTATGCCGCGTACTACTAGATTACTGGAACGATAGAACCCGCAACGTCGCAAGAGAGAAGACAGAAAACTAGTAAGTAGGAATTTTATTCCCTAAACAGTGTCAAATATAGTACAAAAAACTCATGTATTTATAGTTTTTTTTTTGACTGAGAGTAAATCATCATTTCGGACAACCAATAGGCACATAGGGGGTCATTCTTATCCATCCAATAGGGAAGCTACACGTCGACGTTATAGAATGTTCCCCTAGCAGTGATTGGATCGAATGTCTTCGGCTCTTTCTGGGCTTCTTGAAGCTTCCTAGACTTTACTAACGAGCCATCCTTATAGTAATATAAAGATGAAGATCATTAGAACTATATGATATATTAGATCACTTTATATATGTATATAAAATCAGTTTATTCTTACCGTTATAACTTGTGGTTAGATGCCCCACTAATGTATAACATGGGAATGAAAAGATGAAAGAACGTAAAACAACAGTAAGTTCAAGAATTAGACCAAAAAATGTGACAAATACAACTATGACCAGTTTCATCAAGTGATATATTTCAACATCTCCAAATGTAGGTCATGATTATCCCTATTGTGCCTAATCGGTTGACTTGTGGATATCAGAATAACTCAGTTCAAAAGTCAATGACTCTTATGAATTTACATTTGTGACCACTTGAGACGTATGTGCCCTGTTAATATATAACCTGATAATACCGCTAATTAGAGAGCAATGATTTATCGATCGGACCAATGACGTATAAAACCTATGCGAGCAGTCTAGAGTACTTATCGGTCTAGCTTTCTGCCTAGTCCAGTCAGTTAAGTCCAGAACACCAATAACAGCCTCTGCAATATGAATCATTTATTTCAAGCATAATGGGTTCATATACCAAACAGAGAGACCACATCGTACCATAAAATAGGAAACAACATTTGTATAAGATTTAGCCAAATGTGGCTGTGAATGTAGAGAGGTAGTAATTGATAGGCAGGGCACAACTCAAGGATGGTAAATCGTATAATAATAGTTCATAGGTCCAAATAAAGCTCATGATAAGGGGGTCATGAATATGAATAGTTTAGTTATTAAACAATTATACGATTTAAATATACGCATAGTATTGATCTATAAATGGATCCCAAAAGTTACCATTCATTATTCTTATCGGGACATAGCACTTACTTGGAACCTATCCTGGTAATATTAGTTTATCATTCAGCATGATGAATTTCATATTGTTTTCCATATTATTTTCTATGATCTTTATTTCCTAGTATCTTCCATTTCTAGTCTAGTTGATCTTTTATTTTTAAGTTCTTAATAAGTATATGTATGATCAGATTGTTCGAAAAGTACTGCTCTAATATTTCACATAGTTCTGATAATCTTTGTCATTTAAAGTTGTTTATCGTGAATATTTTAAGTCAAAGATCAAAATAAAATGAAAAACATTTTCTTTTTTTAATAACTCAAATCTTTTGAAGGTTGTACAATATAAGTCTTGGTGGAGTTGACCTGGAAATAATTAGTTGGATGATCTAAATAGTAATGTGGTGTGCACTACTTATGTCAGCAAACATATGTAGTATGTAACACCATTCGGAAGTGGAAAACTTGGCGGCAGAAGGCTAAGAAGATTGAGTTGAAGAAAACAGAAAGGGAAATAGAAAAGGATTGTGAATTGGAAGAATCATACTGAATGTGATGGACAAATGAAGTATTTAATGTATGGTTCTCATATTTCACAAAGATATTCTGTAATTTAGTATTAAATAAACTGGTTGTTCCCAGCTGTGTTCTCATTCATTACAGTACTTGTTCTTACAGAAACATGTAACCGTTGTATAGAAAAATATATTACACCCAAGTTATTTATTTCTCAACTCAGTAACAATATATTTATACTGTGTAGAACACGACAGGATTTTCTACTGATCAGTCGTTAAATAATGCACTGTAGAACACTAAATATAGTTTAGTTTTATTAGATTTGAACAGATCATTTGTAAAATGAACGGTGCCGGGTTTGAGTCCCGTGATGAACATCAACTCTGGCTTGCAGGTTCGTTCAGTTGGTGATTCCCGAATTGAATGAAACGCGTTCGCTGGATTCTACTGAGATTATAAGAACCTGGTGAGTCGTCGAAAGAAATGACGACATTTCATCGAGGAAATCTCTGCTGAGATTCCGACCCGATCTAAGTTCGTGGTCTGAATAACGTGTAACATCTCTACAACCCCTTACTGAGAGGAATTTTTTATTTGCTGAGACGTCCTAGTTTTATTTATTTCATACAATAATTTAAAGCACATGTGTTAATCAGTCACCGAAATAGCAGTTGAGTAATAAAAACGCTTCTTTTTTAAATATCAAGTAGCAGATTCTAATTTCAACTTAAACCACATCACATTGAGTAACTAGGTAACGAGACACACTCTTTCATGAGGTGTGTTTATCAAAGCCAACTGCATCAGTCTACACTTGCATACTGGTTCAAATTAGACTATTATCAATAATTGGGTTAATCCATCGTGTTTAAATCAAACACCCGATTTCATTTCAAAAGTACTTTACAAAGTCATGTGTGAAACCGTTATATATGCATATACTTGGGCGCTTGTTTTCAACTCGGATACAGAAACATGTTTCAGTGTATTTCTACAAGGGTGATAGTAAAGAAGTTAGAAGTTCCATCCTTGAACATCTAATCGACTCTAATCATTCTACTGATCCACAGGTCGATTTTAAGGTCGTGTATACGATTCGTACAAATCCAACTAGATTTCTTCGTTTTAGCTCCTAAAAATAGCAGAAGCACTTACCATCCATGAGCTCAAGCCAGAACTATGCGTACAAAAGCAATACGTTTTATTGTTATCTTTACCCTGGCCTTAGTCTATTATTATTATTATTATTAATATTAATAATATTATCATTACTGTTATTATTATTTGTATTATTATCATTGCATTTCTCCCTTTACCCATGTCTCATATAGTCATGATTTTATTCATAATTGTCCATGATATTACATCATTCATTTATTTACACCCCTATTACCTTTAATGACTCTTAATTATTGTAACATAAACATCTTATTGAACTTACTACATTCACATTATCATTCGTTACTAACTTATTAAGTCTATTGTTATTATTCACATTACGTAATCTAGTATTATAATCATAAGATTTCGTCATTATATTTATTCCTAGTCCATATAACCTCACGGAACTAGTAGACGTGTCGTACTTGTAAATTAGAATTAGAATTTTGTTTGGTAACTATGATATGTGATATCAGTCAACATCACAAGCCATAAAAATTATTGATATAAGACACATAGCAGGACAGAACAGTTAGAATTATGATAAACTGTGATATGTATGTGTTATTTACAAAAGTTCTGAAGCTAAAAATGTATATACTGAAGGAATAGTGTTCATTTTTCATAAAAGAGCATACAAGTTGAGCTTAATAGCTGGAGGTAATTAAAAGGGTAAAGATTAACTAACGGTATAAAAGCGAAATGTAATTAAGCTTAGAAAACATACAGTAAGTCTAGGAAGAGTAGCATATTATGAAATTAATCGATACAACTAAATATTAGATAAAGATAGCAGGTTAATTTACAGGTTACACAAATATAAAATAAACCGGTCCTGGGTTTGGTTCAATAGTAATAAAATACAGAACAATGAGGTGAAAGTATTCAAACTTTTAGTTGCTGCAAGATTTCTACTTCATAATTTAGATACAACGGTATTGTACAACAATTCATCTATAATTCATGTAAATTAAATGAGAATGGATCATTTCCTTTGGAATATCCAAATTCAAAATAATGCGTGATGAAAACAGAAATATGTTTTGAAAATTATACTATTTTTAATGTGTAAGTAGTGTGGAATATTTAACATAACTATTTCCCCAAATAGATTTAGGCTAGCAGTGGAATCTAAAGCTAGCGTTTCGTCCTATTTGTGACTCGTCAACTGGGTGTACCTACAAACCCAGACTTAATGTTCACTCATGGACTTGAATCAGGCATTTTTCGCTTAAAACACTATTGTATTATCTACTAGGCTACTGTATACAGATAGTCACTGGCTTATGAAATGGGGGGATTTTATTTCACATATATTGTTTGAATTTTTAATCGACCTTTAAAACTGCACAAGCTAGAAGCTATATAGACTCACTAGTTAAGTAGATAAATTGATTGAGTTTGTAGCGTATAATACTGAGTTTAATTCTTGGAGTGAACATCAGCTCTGAGGTTGTAGGTACATCTAGTTAACAAGTCGCAAATAGAACGAAACCCATTTCCTGGTTTCCACTGCTATCCAACATTCATCTCTCTTTATAATGCTTATGACCTACTGGTAATATTGAAGCAATCCTTAAAGGATGCACATATGCCAAAAGAGACTGATCAGTCGTTATCATAAAAATCAATGGAAAGATTCGAACAAACAATACATATCAATTATTTTCTAATAAATAGATTAAGATGGTTTTTGTGAGGATTTTTAGTAATTTTACTATGTAGTTAAAATCATGATTCAATTGAAGTTAGACCACCATGGAAAACCCGGATCATGGATGCGCACTATTGAGGAGTCGCGCAATGAGACGGAACGGCCGTCTAGTGCTTCCAGGTTCTCCACGGTGTTCTGGCTTCAATTGACTCATGAAATCAACTATAAAATGATTTTATACTTGGTGACAATTGTTCAATTAATAAAACTCTGTAATTAATAATCACGAAATTGTCAAGTAATAGAATTGCCTTGAATATGTATTTGATAATCTTCTTAATCTTGTCCAATAGATCTTCTTAACAAGATTAGTCTTTTTAAGTGGCCATGTTGAGGGGTAAGAAGCAAGAAGAGGTGTTGTATATGATAGTGCAGTTGTTATTAGAATTATCATCGTATAATCTGCACCATTAACGGAAAGACTAGCAGAATAATTGAACTAGAAGTTTATAGATAACTCAAAAACAAAGTTTTGAACTTCTCCTGATGTTCCTGAAGAAGTTGTATCTAGCTAATTAATCATCTAAATGTGTCTAGTTCGTTAGTTATATTTAACGTATATTAGAACCGTGACAACATACCGATACTTCTAACCTGTGAATCATTGACACCACAGACTGATTTCTTTACTGATAACTATTTAACTCATATATTATACTAACAATTTATTGGGTTATTATTATATGTAGTGACTCTGAAGAAGTGGCTTACACTGAGTCACGAAACGTCAGAAAATCTAATTTTTCTACTCATTGGGATATTACAAATATATTAATTTATTTATAACAATCTACTCAATGCTCAATTTATTCAAAATTATCAAATCAAATGATACCTACAAAAAGAATTATTACCACATAAATATTTGGGGACACATGAAGTTGTATAATTCTAGATACTTGAACTAAATTTCATCCAGATATATCTGTGAAAATGGAGTCACTAAAACATTTATTCATTCTAGACTATTCTCAATGTTCCTTTCTACACTCTTCCAATCAGTTTTTTTCGTTTATTTTATAGATGAGTATTTCAGTGTAGTGTGTAATTTTCACTGATAATGTCATTTCCTCCTGGATATCAGAATATACTTCAACGGAAACGTTCATACCAGACAATTATAGATAACTCCATTAGATTAGAATACATTCTTTGATAAAGAAGTGGCATATTTATATGAACATAAAATATGAACTATTAAATGAACATAATGATTGATCAAAAGTGTCATATACGTTATATTACGAAACATTGAAAAGTTCAAAAATAAACTTAATCCTTTAAATCAACAATAGTAATCATGAAATCATAAAGACTTGATAAATTTTTCAAAGTATAACATAGATCATTACTGCATCTTCTCACGATGCTTCACCGCCTTGTGGATCAGACCTTTAGGTCAAAGGGTCCATGTGTGGCCACCTCCGAAAACCACCTACTTCAGTTTGGGCACTCGGGCAGTATCACAGCCCTCACACAAATGAAATAAGATTTGTTCGGCGCATATATATCTGGTGCTTCTTTGTACCATTATTTATTTCTTTCAATAAATAATAAATATAGATCACTATATATATATATATATATATATATATATATATATATACATCAAATAATTGTCTTATAAAATGTCATACTACTCACTTCTATCTTAAATAAGTAGTAATAATAATCAAGAATTCATTGGTAACTTATTATAAATTTCATATTTGACAATAACTAAAATAAAAATCAATTTGTAATTAAATAAATAAAAGAAATTATTATTATTATTTTTTCAATTAAATTTAATAACAAATAAATTACATGAATATATTTATTAAAATTTTATTTATAGAATAATAATAATAATATTATTATTATTTTAAAAAATTTTGGCGCCCTTTATTTGAATTATATATAATTTTGAATTATTGAATTTATATAAAGAAATAATTTCAGATTATGATGATAAACCATGATGAACGAAAAGAAAAGAAGTGGAAGAAGAAGAAGACGACGACGACGAGGACGAAGAAGAAGAAGAAGAAGAAGAAGAAGAAGAAGAAGAAGAAGAAGAAGAAGAAGAAGGAAACGACAACAACAACACATAGAACAGTGATATCAAGGGAAACAAATGAAAAGATAAAATTTATTACAATTTATATAATGAATATGCATAAAATACAATTATGCAATTATTTTAGTAAAACTGGATACCATACTAGATATATATTTATATCGTATCACTCTAAAGGACATAAGTCAAGAGATAAAAGAAAATCGAATTATTATGATTATTTTTATTTATTAAATGATATAAATAAATAATCTATGACAATTTTTAAACATTTGGTATGTTTTGTTTTCTTCTTTTTTTTTCTGATAAAGGAATGATATGTATGAATGTTATTATGTAATATATGATTAATTAATTAACCTGTTATATAATAGAGAAATGGAATGTTTCCCAAAATAGAGGACAAAACAACTTCTAGCTGAAGAGGAAATTAGGAAATGACGTTGGAAGTGGATAGGATATACATTAAGGAAATCAGCAATGTGTATTACAAAGCAAGCCCGTAAATTGGAATCTGGAAAGGAAGTGGAAAAGAGGAAGGCTAAAAAAAACACTACGACGGGAAATAGAAGTAGATATGAAAAGAATGAATAACAAGTGGAGAGAACTGGAGAGGATTGTCTAGAACAGAGTTGGATGAAGAATGCTGATGGACGGCCTATGTTCCTCCATGAGGGGTAACAGACGTAAGTAAGTAAGTAAGTAAGTAAGTAATGTTTCCCAAAATAGATTATATATATTTATATTATCGAACTGATTGTGATAAATTATCAGTATATGATGTAATATTATTGGTTGTACATATTATTAAATTCGATTGAATATTATTAGATTGTATTAAATTATTATTATTATTGATTATTGATTCATTATTTGAATTTAATGAAACATTTAAATAATGATTATAATCTGAATTGATTGATTTTACATAAAAATTATCGATTTTTTCTTCATCTTTATAATCATATTCAGTTAAACATGGATATAATGATTTATTGATTATATTGGAATTATTATTAATATTTTGTGTTGTTAATGTTGATATTGATGGTGGTGGTGATGATGATGTAGAATATTGATTAATTGAATTGATTTCTTTTTGTTTTAATCGATCTGTATAGATTTGATTATTTATATTTCGACGAAATTTAGCTCGAGCGTTTTGAAACCAAACCTAAATAAAATAAAATTAAAATTATAATAATTATTTAAATTATATCTGATTTGATTTGTGTGAGGGCTGTGACACTACCCGAGTGCCTGAACTGAATCAGGTGGTTTTCTTAAAGGGCCACAACCGGAGCCTTTCACAAAAACGTCAGATCCACAAGGCAGTGAAGCAACGTCAGGAGATGCAGTCCCATGGTAGCCGGTGACGATGTACACCATTGGTTTAGAATCAGGGTTTTCCAATTCCTTAGGTGAACTTTTCGTGTCCACCTGGTAAGTCTTGTTGATTGAACACTATACTCGGATCCTAAGCTAGTCTCGTACCCCCCTTCTTTTGATTTACATAGGAAAGAATCCTCATAAAGTTTTTTTTTCTTCAAAGTGATAATCGATTAGACAGTGTCCATCAAACGTATCAAAATATTCTTTAATCAACTTTTTAGCAGTAACTTACTTAAATTACATTTGTAAGTGGTATTCATCAGAGATTAATTTCAATCTGGAGACTATTGAAGACCAAAGAATTCTAGACAGATGTTTCATTCTAATATAATATTCATCAGGAATGTACATCACATTATCTAGATATTTCTTGTGGAATTAAACTTACTCAAGTTTATATTGCCTACAGATTTATTTCTATAATAACAGTTTTGCTATGCTAACAATCTTCAGTATATATTTTATAATTTTAAGATACGCGTTTGCCCTGAATTTGGCTATTTGTTTAGATAATTAATTTGAGATTATATATAGAAGATTTGGACAGAAATGACAGCCGATGTGTTTTAAATGTTGATTAGCATTAGCTAGAAAAATAATCTCATATACTCATTATATCTTGTGACTTACTAATAACAATGTTTTATGAGAGTCTATCAACTCCCGTAGAATCTCATGTACAGTGATTGGTTTTATCGTTTCTGATCGAAAAGTGAAGATCACTAACTCTTCAAATCCGATTATAAGAGATTTCATTTTCGGTGAATGATTGCTAAACACTTTCATTATTACTGAACAGAAAGTTTTTTTCAATATTTTATGCTACTTTTATTATCCTGAGGAAAATTGATACACTGTATCGTTTTAAAAATTTAAAATAAAATCTCTTAATACACAAAAAATAAGATTAATAAATGTAAATAAAGTTCACCGGACATAGAAGCATCACACATAGACGTTCCTATAGATGTCACTCAACCAATGACCGAACAATTCAGGACGGCCATTAGACAAAGCAAAAATTGGAAATCAGTAGGACCTTATAACATACCAGCTAAAGTCAGAAAGAAGTAACCTCAAATATACCCCACGTTCTATTCAGGAAGATTTCGGAGGTGAACAAGTGCCCCCGACAGACTGGAAAGAAGGATACCCCACTAACATACCAAAGAAAGGAGATCTGAACAAATGTGAGAACTGTAGAGGAATCCCATTACTATCGGTACGAGGGAACAGAGTGTTGCTGAGCCGGATGAAAAATTCAGTAGACGTCCAGCTTCAGAGTTAACAGAAAATATGAAAGTCAAAACAACTATCAACCAATATCAAAGTCACAATTTCAATACAAACGTCGACACAGTCCTACTGGACCGAGATGAAACGTGGAAAACTACTACAACCATCAACAAAAATGCACAAGTATTTATAAACAATTGTATGCTGAACATATTCAATATCCGTTGGTAGCATGCCATCAACAACAAACTATTGTTGGATAGAACAGATCAACTTCCATCTGATGGGTGGGGGATTGAAGAAAAATGATGGAATTGGATAGGACATACATTGTGGGAATCATTGAAGTGCATCATGAGGCAAGTGCAAATTTGGAATCCTGAAAAGGAACGGGAAAGAGGTGGGCCGAAGAACATACTGAGTCAAGAACCGGAAACAGACGTAAAAAGTATGGATAGCAACTGGAAAGGACTGTCCAGGACAGGGTTGAATGGAGAGTGCTGGTTAGGGACCTATCAGATATACAGATAAATCGAAGATATACTTATTCGTTACTCAAATTTTGTCCTCCCTACAATCTCCAATATTTTTCCAATGTAGGACTTACTCAATTCCATGTCTATTGGGTAGTTAGATAGTCTATTATAAACTACTGGAGTGCTATAAAGTCTTAAATGTTGATAATAAGTTAACGTAACATTAAATTACATGACCACAAACAGTTTGTGTACTGAATCCTATCAACGGTCTATACCATAAAACGAGGAAAAAAAATTCAATTCCCATCATCTTTTTACAAAGGTAAATGCAAATAATCATTGACATTATGAAAAGTTATTCTTAATAAATGAAAGAGAGTACAAAATAGAAAATGTATGAACTGCTCATCGAAAAATAATTGAAAATTATAGCAAAGTCTGTTAAATCACAAAATTTACTCTAAAATGCAACTTCCTTGTAAATCACTTATCAACGGAAACCAAAGATTGATAAATCGTCGTAGAATTGATATTATTGTCTTTAATAAATAACTTACAGTAATCGTTTGACACTTGGAAGTATCTCGGTTTTCAATAGTGGTCTAGCTTAAATCAACTCATGATTTCAATTGCAAAAATAATTAATTGTCAATATGGGAATGTTTGTGGATATTGTAGAGTAGTCAGAGTTTAAATCATGAATTGATCTTAGCTTGACCACCTATGGAAATCTGGAAGTACTGAGCAGTCGTTTCATCCTAACATCAGACTTCTTAGCTGTCCCCATCCATAGCCCAGTGCTTCCTGGTTTTCAGTGGCGGTCTAGATGAGATCAGATCATAACTTAAACTACGAAAAGTTTACACTCTCCAAAAAATTATTTGTTGGTACTAATCATTTAGTCATTAGGGGTAAACTTCAAAATTCGATTCCTGGAAGTTTGAGTTGGGATCCGTGATCAGTGAAGTTTAACCATTTCGGGTGTGAAGAATATACTCACTGAAAACAGTTAGAGATAGACGAGAAATATCACCACTCAACTGAGAGTAAACATATATAGTAGTGGTCTAGAGGCTTAATGATCTAGAAATCAAGAGTTAGCACTCAAAACCGAAAGTACAGGAAAAACACAGCAATCATCAAAATGTTTTATCATCTTCAAAAAGTATTCAGTTCATGATAGCATTATTTGAAATATCTACATTTACAATACTCAAAATCACACTGCACTTGCGTTGGTATTCACACGAGGACAGAGACCAGTGTCTTTTGCCTCAAACACCCAATGAGTAATTCACTTAACTATTGACGAAACGCTGGTGTTGGATCCCTCTGCTAGGCACTATTCATCTCTGCTTAGAAATGCATGTGACCGACCGCAATATCTCGGTAATTCGCTCAGGATTCACATGTGCCGAAAAACGACCGATCAGTTTCAGTACTTAAAACCAAAAGTAGGAAGTTTTAGGCCTTCAGAAATGAATTAACTGTCTTTCAACACTTCTGATGATGTTTATTGCTTTAAAATATAGTTTACAAAATGCTCACTATATGGCGATTAAATGTTTCAACGGTATTGTTTTGTTTTTTTCTAGTCAAAGAAACCCAGTAATAATCAAGATGTTTCATTATCTTCAAAAAGTATTCAGTTCATAATAGCATTATTTGGAATATCTACATTTATGATACTCAACATCACACTTATTGTGAGACAATTTCATCGAGAGTCGAAAAATTCCCCAACTTTGATGATATTTCAAACTGGAATAACTCTGCTTGGTTTCCTTATAATTATATTTCTTGTTGTAATAAGTCAATTGAATGTGAGTGATTATGTTTTTTGAATTATACATTGTACATTGACTTGATTTGTTTCTATTCAATAACATTTGATGATGATAGATGGATCGTGGATAGGTTGAGGTTAGACATTAAAACCGTTGGAGTCTGTTTCAATGGTTTGGAGGTTTGAAGACGTGCGCGTGTGAGACGGAGAGTCCTGGATTCGGTTCCTGAGTACTGGATTATGAATGCGCTCTGTTGAGGAGTCCCACGCTCGTACGAGAAGGCCATCCAGTACTTCTAGGTTTTCATTGATGGTTCATCGTAGATTGATTCATGAATTCAACTATGAATATATATATATATATATATATATATATATATATATATATATATATATGATGAAGTAGTTTGTAAGTAGACAATGAAACTATATGAACTTAAGCAAAGATAGATAGTGGCTAGCAGTGGAATCCAGGACGCGCGTTTCGTCCTTTTTGGGACTCATCAGCTGGATGTACCTGCATCTCAGAGTTGATGTTCACTCTAGGATAACGCGACGGCGTTTGAAGCGAACGGTTCGAGTTCCAGGATGAACATCAACTTTGAGATGCAGTTACATCCAGCTGACGAGTTCCAAACAAGACGATACACGCGTTCTGGATTCCACTGATAGCCACTATCCATTTTTGCTTACAATGCTTGTGAATTAAGGCTATATCGAGGCAATACGCACAGTATGCATATATGCCAATTAGAGACTGACCAGTTACAGTCTTAACACATTAATGGAAAAAGTCAAACAAACAATACTAAATGTATATAAACTTAAATTTGACTTACTTGTAAAACACGTTTAGATAAACCAGTTTTTTGTGATAATTGTTTTAAATCTTTTGAATCAGGATTATGACTAAATTCAAAATATGATTTCATTATTCTTAATTGTTGATGTTTAAATGATGTACGTATTCTTTTAATTTTTCCTGTATTTTTATCTATACGTCTATGTAGTTTTTCATTAGTTATTAAACGTTCATTATCGAATTTTTTTAAAAATTTTATTGATTTTGTTGATTTGAATTGATCTGATTTTGTATCTAGAATAAAAGTGAAATTATAAAAAAAATGATGTAATTGAATGGATCAATATTAATCAATAAAATAAAAGTAGATCAATCAAATGTATATTTAATTTAACATTCATGATTTCAATCATAAAATTACTAAGATCTCCACAAAAAACTCCTTTCTGATGATGATCATATGTTTACTAGTGACTTGCTTCAAGAGATATTTCTTGGAGTTCCAGTGAGAAACAGTGACCAGTGGAGTTCAACCAGGTCTATTGGGAGATAGTAATTCACTGAAGACAATGATGGACTATTGTTCAATTTCGTGTATTTGTTGAGGTTAGACATTAACATCGTTGGATATCGGCTCAGTGATTCTAGATCTTAAGCGCTCGCGCGTGAGACTGATAGGTCCTGGGTTCGAATCTCATGAAGCAGGATAGTGGGTGCGCATTTCTGAGGAGTCCTACAATAGGACGAAAAGGCCATCTAGTGCTTCCAGGTTTCACATGGTGGTCTAGCTTCAATTGACTCATGATTCCAACTATAAAATTACTAAAATCTCCACAAAAACCCTCTTTTGATAATTTAACATATTCTAATTGAAAGGAAGCTCAATAACTTTAAAATCCCTGTCATCCAATACCTCTCATATAATTCTATTCTTAAAGAGTTTAAAAAGAGTTATCCAGTTTATAGTTAAAGTTTGAATGTTTATTCTGGTTATGTTATTGTGACATTAGTCAAGATATTGAAATAAATAGCAATACACCAATATGATCTTTTTCAGTTTGTCCTTGGCTTAAAGCCAAATGAAATGAATCAAATAAATAGTATAGAATCATACAGGATTTTTATACTAACTTCACAACTTACTGCTACCAGCTCTGATATAACTACCAATTTAACATTTAATATACTATTCAATTCATACTAACACCTTATATATAGTCGGTATCAGTTTCAGCATTACTGTAATCTCCCAACAACATTTTATGGTAATAAACTTATTGAATGTTGATCAAATTACAAACCTTCACAGTGAATATTAATTGTGTGATCACATAAGATCAACTCAACAACTTTATAGTCAGTCGTGTCTGTTTTCAGTCAATTATCAAGCGACGGTCATATTTTATGACGAAAGAAATATCGACAAAAAATCTTAACTATGCGATCAGCACTCAAGAGCTGAATGGAATTAAGTTCACTGTGGGACTTGTATGTTTTGGATACATTTTTCTGGGGTCAAAGGTGTGCAGTACTGATGTGTTCCAAATTGAAACAAAGCATTCACTCAGCATTGTCTGGTCAATTCCTCCTTAAAACTGTTGAAGGAACCCCTATGAATCACTTGGTGTACGTTGATATTTGCACAAATAAAGTTTATAAGGGTCTTATAGTCAACTTTCTCAACTCTTCATGCCATTCGATAGTATGTTTAAGAATCAGCTTGAATATCTTCCTGTTTCAGTCAATAATAACTATATTACAGAATACGACTCTCTCTCATAGAGCAACTCGACACAATAAATTGATCAGAATCAAATTATTACATAAAAATTGATCTTCAATTTTCTTCAGATGCTTTCATTTCACAACAAAACAAAAACAGATTGTTTCTGTGTGAAAAGTTTTCACTTAATGAAATGTCATCCAATCTAGGATATTGAAATAAAATTTAACATTAGGTCAAATTCATTTTTTATTGTTTGTTTCAAGCAAACGGTACTGGGTCTGAGTCCCGGAGTGAACATCAGCTGTAAGTTGCATGCACATCCAGCTGACGAGTCTCAAATAGGACAAAACGCGCATCCTCGATTCGATTACTAGCCACCATCCATCTTTGTTTAACATCAGGTTTCATGATTACATTATGTAAATAAAATGTCACAGAACCTAAGGGTTTTTTGTTCTTCCCTGGTAAAATGACAAATTTTTAAAATCTCCAAATTCAGCTGAACGTATAAATGAAAAGGTATTTTTGCTGTGACATTAATAAATTTTGTTCACAAAATAGTATTTTATAGTGGCCCCCAAATGCCATAGTAAGGCCGAGTGTGAAACGAGTCCGCTCTCCCTATCAAAATGCTCTCACATTGCCACTCATGTACAGCCTCTGCCAAGGAAGTCCTACTCACCGCCTTCCCGCGGCGAGGGTTTTGTTTACGAAATTGAGAGGACGAAAAGCGAATGTCCGGCGCTTAAACCGAGTCAGTGGATACGTAAGATCGACCTAGAAGAGTTGGGAAACCCTGATTCCAAACCAATGGTGCACATGTGCTCCAGGATCTGAATTTAACAAATGGCGTATTAGCCAACTGTTGGTCACTGGCTACCATGGGACTGCATCTCCTGACGGTGCTCCACTGTTTTGTGGATCAGACCTTTAGGTGAGAGGCCCCGGGTGTGGTCCCCAAAGGAAACCATCTGCTCCGGTTTGGGAGCCCCTGCAGTATCACAGCCCACGCACAAATCAAGTGAATTGTGTGGCGCAAATGTATTCGGTGCCCCTGTTAGTTATGTCCATAACTAATAAATCAAATCGTTGCTTAAGCTCCCACCACGTCAATCTGGTCTGATATGTCTGTAAACTATCCCCGTTGCATGTCACCTACCAATTGAAAGACATTATTATCCTATTACATTACTGTGACTCATAAATTTTATTCATTTTAATAAGACACGCAATACTGGTCGGTATGTTTGTGCGTTTCACTTAATGACTGTAATTCTTTAATTATTGTACTAATCTAATTGTTTTTATGTTTAGAAACAGATAAAGTTTAAAGCCAAGTTGTCCTTGTTCTGACTAGAATCTTTCACATAGACTCTGAGATCGCCAGTATCGCGTTTACAGTTTTAATAGTATAACTGTAGGACAAAATAAATCCTACAGCTCCTATGTACCAATATATGTTAAAATAAATAAATTCCATAATAGATATACTACATAAAATGTTTGTTTTTTTAAACTGAGTAAAATAGGTGACTGAACCTTTCAGTTGTAAAGAACAAAATTAATTCAATTAAAATTTCTCATAACTGACTTTTAAATAAATTAACAGATTTCACAGATGTTTTATTCACGACTTCATTTGTCATAGTTTCATTTAATGGAGGTTGTTGTTGTTGTTGTTTGTTGTTAGTTGAAGTTTCACATAAATCTGTTAACATTGGTAATTCTCTTTTATTAATAATATGATTTTGATTAGTATCATTCAATGTGATTATATTGTGTACATCTTTATTTGTAGATAGACTAGTTGTTGATATAGAACTAACATTTGTAAAATTTCCAATAGGACATAATGGTGGTGAAGTTGATAATGAAATACATATCGATGATAATGAAGGTGAAGAAGAAGATGACAACGATGGGGAACAGAATGAATATAATGGTGAAGTTAAAACTGTACTAATTGGTGTTCTAGTAGAAATTGTATTCAATATACAATTTGTATTAATGTCATTATTTAAACTATCAATGATAATATTAGATTTAGTATTGAATGATTGTGTTACAGTTTCTATACTTGGTAATAAATTAATCCTGGTATTATCAGTTTCCGTGATCTCTTTTATTTCCATGGATTCATTATAATTAATAGTTGATAATTTTGTATTTGAAATGACATAATCAGTAATATAATTATTATTATGATTTGTATCATTTAAACAAAATTGTGAATTGGTTAATTTGTTTAAATCTTTTTCATGATATGAAAAGGTTTTCATAGGGATTTGTAAACAATCAGAAAGATTTTCATTGTCATCTTCATTATGAGCTGTAAATATTGATAAGGATAGAAATCAAGCAATGGGATAATTGTAACATACATATACATTTCTATAATTATTACTTAAAAAATAAAATTTCATTACATTTTAAGTGAATAAGTAATTTTGTATCAACCGCTAGTATGTGTATGCCTTACTGACTTACTCCTGTTAGCCCTCGTGGAGGAGCATAAGCCCCCAACCAGCACTCTCAATTCAACCCTGTCCTGGGCAATCCTTTCCATTTGTTATTCATTCTTTTCATGTCTGTTTTCAATTACTGACTCATTGTGTTCTTTGGTCTTCCTCTTATCCGTTCCCCTTCAGGATTCCAAGTTAGCATTTGTCTCGTACTGCACTTTGATGATTCCCGAAGTGTATATCCTATCCACTTCCATCATCTTTCTTGATTCCCCCACCCCTCAGATAGAAGTTGATCTGTTCTATCCAACAATATGTTGTTGCTGATGGTATCTTACCAACGGATATTCAGTATGTTCAGTATATAATTATTTATAAATACTTGTACATTTTTGTTGATGGTTGTAATAGTTTTCCACGTTTCATCTCGGTCCAGTAGGACTGTGTTGACGTTTGTATTGAAATTGCGAATTTGATATGGTTTGATATTCGTTTTTAGTTCCATATGTTGTTCAATTGTAGGAATGCGCCCCTTGCTTTGCTAAATGTCTATGAAATAGAGTCCATTTATTTCTTCAATGGTAACTTCAATCAATCGAGTGAATATGATTTTCAGTATTTCATTGTGTCTTTATTGAGAATAAGGTACATTTAGGTAGCATGTTCTTATTCTATTCTCGATATACATATAGATGTTGACTCCATCAAATAAGTAATTTATAACTACCATTACTTGAAATGTTTGCTGCTAATCCAAACATAAAGATTAGTCTTGAAATCATCACAGTTGAAATCAAAGTGAACTGAGTAGTCCATTTTAACATAAAGTTGAAGAGAAATATAAGTGTTTATCCGGTTTTCTGTTGTGACAAAACTTTAGAGCCTCTGGATACTTCTAATACTTTCAAGTACTTGTTAAATGTGAATCATTGGAGTTTGAAGTGTGGACAATTAAACATCAGCTCATTAATTCCAGGGTATCAAGCTCATAGCGAAGTTTCAAATTCTTACATTCGATCACTGCAGGGGTTGCAAGTACGGACTCTTGAGGAGAGCTACACTATCATAAAATAAGTGTCGGGTTTACTATAGTATTCGATAGTTCTCTAACTATAGTCACCCCGTGATACAAACTACAAAACTTTTCTTAAACTTCTTATACTACTAATGAGTATAACTTTCATTTTTACGAAATTTCTTTTGGATAAGCGAAACCATTCATATTTGGCACGTATAACTGACTCAATTTCAGCACATTGATTTCAACTCAAAAGTATAACTTCTAATACTGAAAATGGTTGCATTCCTATTTAAACTCACCTAACTTTAAAGTTTCTGAGCTTGACTACATTACTTAAGTTAGTTAGTAGCTAACAGATAAACAAAAGTATTATCAGGATTATGAACATTAAAGAAATAAATTGATATAAAGCATTAAGTTATTTAGTATATTTGAACTCAAACTTTCAATAATGAAATTCGTCCGTAAAAATACATTACTCAAATTACAATCCACAAAACGTTTTGTAGCTTTAGTGACAAGCCACAACCAGCGAAGCTCAACCATGTCGAAAGTAAGAAAGTTTTTTCACAGCAAACAGTAGAAGATCCTCGTTGACTGAATGCCAACTTAGGCATCTAGAAGTTAAGCATCCAGTTGTGAGACCAAATATTTTAGATTTGATTCCCTAAGGTGAGATCGTGGCTCTTCATTCCATAAGGACTCTCATATCAAAGAATTAAAGAGATTCAGTTAGTTTATAGCAACTATTCTGCAATCGATTTGAGTATGGTTCATTTTGGTTAAGACTTTTTATTAACTTACTTAACAGACATTGTCATTTGAATAATAACAGTTAGCATATTCTTTGTACTGTTATGACCACTATAGTACGTGACACTCCAGCCAAAATGTTGATTGCTCAAGTATCATCCGATGACACATACTCCTCCCCATATATGTATGAACGCAAATCCCATTATCAACTTCTGTTTTGTTTTGCTGTGCCCTTATTCAATTCGACTATAAAATTCTTATGTAATTGCTTGCTCACTGAACTGCCCACTGCTCGCTGATATTTGCTCATGTGCTTGTAACCTTCTAGCCTGAGTCATTTGTCAATAAATTGTAGTTGCCGCTTCTCTTTACCTTCTGATTTTACTCACCGTTACGATTGGTATTATAATGGTAATCGAGGCGATCGATTAACGAAGCACGACACTACAAGTTGTTTTATTCCCATACATGTATAAATAGTTTATTGTCAATCCAGAACTTGAATTCATAATAAAATTTGGCGAGACTATAATTTGTGGACGAGCCAATCAGGAACGTTTAAGAGGTTTCAAGGTCATGGCGCCAATTTCAGTACCTGACGCTCATGTACGTTCGGTTCACAGAGGATTTTAGAGAAAACTTGACAAATGAGACTACTAAGAAGTTCCTGTATTTGTAATTGTGGTAATTAAATGACTTGTAGACCTTGTGCAAACTACTGTGATGTTGTCCATCGATGTAATATATGTTGAAGCAAGACGTTTGCTAGAATAAGAACCTTTATAGCTGGATTCAGATTAAGACTAAGACATATTATAATGATTGCCCCAAAATGTATAATAAAAGCACCAGTAACTAAAATTTTATAAATACTACTTTTAAAACAAATTAGTATTAAAATAAACTTACATTTAATTAAATAATTTTGACAATCATCAATATGATTAGTTAAATTGATTAATTTATTCTTTTCTAATAATAATGAATTAGTTACTAATAAAGGAGTTAATTGTTCCGTTGAATAATTCATAATTATATTATTCATTGAATTTTTTTCATTTTTTTGTTGATTATTTTCATCATTATTGGAAAATTTATCATTATTATTATTACTACTATTATTATTATTAGTAGTAGTAGTAGTAGTTTCATAAATAATCGATAAATCATTTTGTTGTTGATAATCATATGAAGGTGGTGTTAATGAATGAGATGAAAAATTTTTTGTAATTTTTTTTAAATTTTTATAAAACTTATTATTTTCTTGATAGAAATTAATGGAGTTTGGTGATTGTAAAAAATTTATTAAATTAGGAAATTGATTATTGATATTTGAATGAATATAAGAATGATTGGTATCATTAGATGTTTTATTTATTATAAATGATTGATCATTATTAGTAGTATGATTAGTAGTAGTAGTAGTAGTATGTGATGAACATTGAATAGTTTGATTTTCTAATATATATGTATCACCATATTTTAATAAACGACCACAAGTATAACAAGTGAAACATGATTCATGATATAATGTATCATAATTAACTTGAAAAATTAAATCATTTTTATTTAATTTAATACCACATCGAAAACAAGAAGAAAGTCTAAAAAATGAGAAAAAAATATATTGAATGATAATTAAGTTATTTAAGAACAATAAAGCGGGCGGACTTGCATGCATATAGCAAACAATTCTTCTAGTGGGAAGCAGTGACTAGTAGAGTTCAAACAAGTCTGTTGGGAGATATCAACACACTGAAGATATCACAAGGGGTTTTTTGTAGAGATTTAGTAGATTTATAGTTAAGACCATGAGTCAATTGAAGCTAGACCACCGTGGAAAACCTGGAAGCACTGGACGGCCGTTTCGTCCTATTATGGGACTCCTCAGCAGTGCGCCGGCTCAGTGGTCTAGAGGTTAAGGGCTCTGGCTCGAGACTGGTAGGTCCTGGGTTCGAATCTCGCGAGAGCGGGTTCATGAATGCGTCCAGTGCTTCCAGGTTTTCCACGGTGGTCTAGCTTCAATTGACTCATGATCTTAACTATAAAATCACTGAAGATAATTGGTGAACGGTTGCTCGAACACTGTGGATTGGTTGAACTTAGACATTAACACCGTTGGATGCCGGCTCAATGGTCTAAAGGTTAAGCGCTAGCGCGTGAGACTGATAAGTTTTGGGTTCGAATCTTGCGAGGTGAGATCGTGGATGAACACTGCTGAGCAGTCCCATACTAAGTCGAAACGGCCGTCCATTGCTTCCAGGTTTTCGATGATGGTCTAGCTTCAATAGACTCATGATTTAAACTATGAAAATCCTCTTTGAACCTAACACACAACAATACTGTCATGCATTGTCTCATCTCCCTTGGCAGAATAAGCAACCCGAAAGTCACGAGAACACCATCAGGGCATATGACAGACTAGGTGCCCCAATTAAGACACTTAAATGTTTTTACTGTCAAATTTATTTCCTCAAGTCCCTATTATGAACTTTTTTGGTTTTTTGAAAAGTATTATGTAACATAGGTAAGAAAAATAAACAGGATATATGTACCAGTTTTTGTTTCGTCTTACCGACAGCATATTAGAATGCTTATAAATATATGTTCCATTTATCAACTTCAAAGCTTATTCTAATATTCCATCATTATTAAATTATTACAATGAGTTCATTGGGTGACTGCCTCATACTCGACATGATTGAACTTCATATTGAAAATTTTTTATTGATACTTCTCTTGGTGTACGATTACCATCCTAATGAAAAAAATTAGCAAAATATCATGGATTGTAAGCAAAGATGGAAAGTGGCTAGTAGTGGATTCCAGTTGGACGCGCGTTTCATCCTATTTGGACCTCGTCAGCTGGATGTACCTGCATCTCAGAGTTGATATTCACTCTGGCACTCGAACCCAGTACCTTTCGCTTCAAACGCCATTGCGTTATCTACCCAGCTACTGAGTCCTGATAGCTACTTGCCTGTGCAATGGGGTGAAGTTTGAATTCACTTAGTATTGTATCCATCTCTGCTAACCATGCTTGTGAAATAAGGCTATATCGAGGCAATGCGCACAGTATGCACATATGCTAATTAGAGACTGACCAGTTGCAGTCCTAACACATCAATGGGATGATTTAAACAAACAATAATAAATGAATATCATGGATTGGTCGAAGTCAAATATTAATATCGTTGAATGACGGCTCAATAATCTAAAGATTAAGTGTTCTCACACTAGACCGAAGGTCCTGGGTTTGAAGCTCACGTGAGGATCATGAGTGAGCACTGCTGGTCCAACATTGATTGGTTCATTATCTCAACAATCTCCACAATCCCATACTGAAAAAAATAGAGTTGTATTGTAATTTTATTACTTAAAATAAAGTCCTCAACTTATATAAGATACTTACACTTCTTGTTCTATGTATAAAAATAATACAATTTGGAGTTACATTATTTGTTTTACATCTCTAAGATTTACATAACAGTTAAAACGATGGTTTGTAGCCTGAAAAATGTTATTCCTTTTAGATTCTTAAATTTGAATTTAATGCTATAATGAAAGCATATTTATGTGTATCAAAAACTGTAAGCTGATTGAATGTGAATACTCTATATGTTATTTGGAATAACTGTATGAAGCAAAATTATATATTTAAAATCATGCCTGAAAATTTAATGGTTTAGATTCAATCGTAAAGTGATCCATGAATTTGGTTTATCGTTAACCTGTATTCTTCAATAAGATCTGTTTGAATTTTAGTAGAATAGAAGTCCTCGCTCAGTGTTATAGTGAGTTTTACTATTAAGTTATTTGTATGGTGATTGGTCTCTTGTATGAATGAAGTATTCACCTAGAATAACCTTTGATTAGCAACTTTTTTCACATATTTCTAACTTTTATTCTTATACAATTTCTGTAGATAAATGTGTAAAATTGCAGATACATCCTAGTGATCAGCACCGATCGACACTAAAACTAGTCTCACATCTTTCTGTTAAATGCCATCAATCACTATGACAACTGACACAATGCACAGTGTTTTTTGATTTTCTTAAGTTAATCGACCCATTAGAACGACAGATGTTACTTAACATTAAAAAAACTGGACAAAAATCATATTGATTACTACTAAGTGAACAATCAGTGTATATAACTTATCCATTGTAGAAACCAGTATAATCGATAGCATCATTTTCAAAATCTTTAAAGATATGCTACGTTGAAGTGTTAGGAGTGTGACATAAAACCAAGTTTAGAAATATTCTGACGTTTACTAATAACTTTCAATCATAAAAATTTATGATGTTAGAATGACGTAATACTTGTTCTAAATATCAAGTTAAAAGTGATCTATTTCACAATATAAATCCAATCATTTTAGATAACATTAATCTAAATATTCATTATATTTGTAATTGAAGTATAACAAAGAAAGAAATTTCATCAGATCACTCTTTGATCAAGGAGGATTTCTAAATGATGATATAGTTAGATGAATTTTTTAATTGTTAAAATCAATGAATAGAATGTTAGTCAATAGATGAACAAAATGATATGATGTGCGGTTAAATATTATTGATTTTGGCCGTAATATAATTCAAAAGCAACGACAAGACTACTAGCACAAATGAATAGTACTTTGATTAATTAAAATAATATGCTTACTGATATACTTGAACTAAGTTGATTTCGCGGTAACGAACGAAAGGCCAATGACACTATAAGCTAATCTAATTGATTGTCCCAGAACCCGCTAACTAGATGAAGAAGTCCAAGGCAAAGTAGGGGAATATATATTCCGAAATCAGCCGAGTACAAGCGAGACATACGGGGAAAAACTCAAGCGTATATATACAGCAACAGATTGTCCTTGGGCATCATTATAAAATAGCATACTCAAAGACATAATGGACCAATAGCGTTTAAGATAGTTTACAAGTGGGAAACATGACGTGAAGGTAAAAAGAGCGCTTTTGGCGCGAAAAAAGCTAAATTCAGTGCAGAATCTGAACTGATAAAATGTCCCAGGTGATTGGCTGAAATTAGTTTATAGGTTACTCATTATGAAATAAATTGAGACCTGATTGTCAGTAGCTCTAATCTTTGGGGCTCGTATTAAACAAGTATAAAACTATTGTAATTTGGTTTATTAAATTTCAACAGGTGGATTGCGAAGAGAACAACTTTGTGTAGAAAAAACAATTCAGGATGCCTATGTGTAAAACATAAACAAGCTTAGAATTCCCCACCGATAGTTTGTAAAGTAAATCACTCGAGATTTGGTTCAGTATACATTTGTATGATAAAATAATAATTGTTTTTGATTGTGATCATGAATCGATGAATGTTGGGCCACCGTTGAAGACCTGTAAGCACTAGACAGCCCCTTCCCCTAGTGCGAGTCTCTTAAGAAGAGAGCATCCACTGAAGCCAATCCGTATTAGGTAGAGACAGGTATCTACCTCAAACAATGTAGAACGATTGCGCAATATCGTGTATTGGTTGGGGTTAAATATTAAGCGTTTGCGTGCAGAATAAAGGTCCTGAGTTCGAATCCCATGTGCGTGATCGTGGATGAACACTACTGAGCAGTTACGTAGCAAGACGAAACGACCATTCAGTGCTTCCAGGTTTTTGATGGTGGTCTAACATTCATCGGTTCATGATCTCAGTCGAAAACTGAACAATCTCCACAACCCCACAATGAAAATAATAATTGTAAAATGTATGTAATTTATCATAGTTGAAAGAGTGAGTCAATTGAATCTAGACCACCATGGAAAACCTGGACACACTGGACGGCCGTTTCGTCCTATTATGGGACTCCTCACCTCGGTTAAGGGCTTCGGCTCAAGACTGGTAGGTCCTGGGTTCGAATCTCTCGAGAGCCGGTTCGTGGATGTGCACTGCTGAGGAGTCCCATAATAGGACGAAACGGCCGTCCAGTGTTTCCAGGTTTTCCATGGTGGTCTAGATTCAATTGACTCACCCTTTCAACTATGATAAATACTAAATCTCCACAAAACCCCTTCTGATAATTAAATGTATGTAACAAATTCAAGCTGTGAAAACAAGGATAAAAACAATAAATAGACCACATGACTTTAGATTATTTAAGAAAATATGAAAATGATAACTATGAAATTTGACAATGTTAAAACAAATATTCATGAATGAATAAGATTGTTTTAATATGTTAAGTGAAGAAGCTACAGTAAAATTTCAAAGTACAACTTTAGATAAAACTAAAAGAGATCTTTTGGCTACTTGGAAATGATCATCTCCAGAAACTACAGGCATTGTTTTAATTGACTGAATAAATGGTTTAAGTTTACAAGGTTACTGGTAATGATTATCAACGTCAGCCTACAGTATTGTTATAATTCTTTGTATACATTGAAAAATATTTAAGTTAAACTGTTAGGCTTGTAGTTACAGATCATAGACGATCTAAAAATATCATTTAACTAAATTCATGGTTTTTCAGAGGTGAATTTCTAAATAAGTCGCCTATTTCGAATAAATTACCGGTAATTACACACTTAGTAATCTTTAGATACAGAATCTGATTATTGTCAGGGCGACAATCATTTCGCTG